GATGAAGAGGCAATTTCGCGTGGTTGATGGATGTACTGAAAGAAGCAGGTTGTGTGACGGAGTAGGCGGTTACAGACTTGATAGACATAAATCACTATAATGCAATATGATTAAGGTCTATTCCGGAACTACAATGATTATCGGTTTAAATTGGCCACGGTCGAGCGAAACATGCACAAATGACTGACTAAATTTACTAAACAGACTTTTTTTATCGGGGACAATCGAGACTCTCTCTCTCTCTCTCTGCACAATGCTTCTATTGTCACTGAACTAAAAAAGTGATCGTGGAGCTTACAAGTAACAGTCCTCGATAAAAATTGCAGATTGTTGATCGGGTTGAGCGTCAAATGTAGCATTTCACAGCAGAGACCGTGTTTGCATCATGTTTAGGGTTATAAAATTAAAAAATGCAGCCGCCAAAAAGACATGGTAATTATTTATTTGGCAGCAGTTTTGCAGATTCATTAGACACCGATATACTCAGGAACAAATTAAAAACCTTAAACTATGTCAAATAAGATATTAATAGAGGCACTAACATATACATTTGAAGATTTTTTAAGTAAGCTTAAATTCTAAGACAAGTAATGTGCAGGATAAATAGGTGGAATTTCCTGGGAGATATATGTGCTGGACAATGCATATTTGATGTTTCAGAAAACAAACTGCAAATTTAATAATTAGTGAGGGAGTGTGTGCAGCCAGAGGCTCGATGCACCATTAAAACTATTGTTAACTACTAAATAACTACTCCGAGTTAAATACTCTGATTTTGTGATAAAAGAATTAGATTTGGAGAATTTAGAGGTTTAAACTATAACTTATACCAGACTAGAATGCTCTTAAGAATGTTTTAAGGATTTCACTTTTCAATTTGCACAATCCTACCGCTCTTATTTTTTGGGGGAATTTAATCGAAAAATCTAGATGCCAAATGTAGTAGTTATGTATTCTGAATTGGATTCTGCGGTACCTTTTTGAAGTGTTTTCAGTAAATATGCCTTAGAATGAGGTATTACCTTCTGATATTCATGCAATATTAAGCTGCTGTTCGGGCAGTTTTCATCTAATTTGAATCGTTCATGTTAATTCTATTCATTAAAAACATTCCCTAATGCCAAACATATAGTTCTCCTTTTCTCTTAACCGATAATCAAACTTTTATTTGTTATACACTTTAAGCGTTTGCTTGCCTAAATTTATTATATAGATACTATAATTGTTTTAGAGAAAATGTCAATTTTAGTGTTTTGGAAAAAAATGCTTAAGAAGAAATGACAACTAGCTGGTTAATTAGTATGCAAAGCCACATGCCACATGAAAAGTCACATAATATTTTTAGGCAAGTTTAAACCCACTTACGTTAGTTTTTAGAATTAAAACCCCTTTCGATATTCAAAAACAAATGGGGCTTTACAACAAACGAAGTGTCCACCACACCTCATCTTTCTTTGCCTGGAAATTAAAGCAGTATCAAAAGAGTAAGTAAGTGGTGTGGCGCTTAAAAAATATAATCAAAAATCCTTGGCAAACCGTTTTTATTTCATTTTTGACTTATTTATTAAACTATTTGCAAACATCAATGTAAAGTTCCATAGCCTGCACAATAATCTATAAATGTACCTAAATAACAATTAGTGATATTAGTATTTGCTATGCAACCTAAATATTCGTTAACGGGCAAATGTTATTTAGATTAACTATTTTAACCTTGACCGGGTACTGTTGACTGTACATCGCACATATTTGAAAAAATGAAGGGAATAATATCACTTCGAGATATTATTCGGAGTGGAGAGTTCGCTAGTGTAGAGTTTGTACCTGCAAAACTCTTTGTTGAAAATTTAAAAAAATTGAAGGAAACCGTTGCTCTGATATTGTTAATGCACCACAGGAAATTGCAAATGAATGTATGAATTAATGCACATAACCAGTTAGAATTTTTGCAAACAGAAGTATGTATCATTTCCGTAGTAGGCTGGTATTTTAGGTGTTAAAACAACACTCTCTAAGGTGTTGCTTCTTTTGGTGTTTAAGCGTTCGTTGATTATTTGAAAATGTTTTCCATAAAACCAGATTAGTTGACGCACTATGATAAACCTTTTAGGGAATATTTTTTAGAAAAAAGGAGGGTGAGGTCATTTGATTAAATTTTCTATCGCCCTTAGGATATGTATACTTACAAGATAATTGGACTACTACTAATGTTTCGTTTTTTTGCTAAAGCATTTGCGCAAGTTTACCAAATTGGCCATGTTATAACTTTTTAGAGTTTCCACATTGATGAACAGATGGTGGTCGAAGGCATGTTACAAAACTAATTAGTTAGACTTTCGATACATTGAATTTTCAAGGTTTTGGATTTACAAACTTAAAACCATTAACGCTTGCTCACTGGTGTTTTCCATGCACTTGTATAGCTGTATTGCAAGATTATTTCATAAAACACGACTTACACCAAAGAAAAAATAACATGTAAACGATAATTTGTCCTTAATGGAAATTAGCTAGGTCACGTTTATGGTTTGGTCGAATTTATAATTTTAGCCAGAGTCAAGTGGTTTAACAAATGCACATGCAGCACGATTTGAAATAACTCAATATGCTTGCATTAGTATTGTAAAAACAACAACATACGCAATAATGTGTCGTTGTTATCTTATTTTGTGAATAGTTTTGCAAGCAACCTAAAAATAGTCAATAGGCCCTCAACAAAGAGACTTGAACGGTGTTTTTGTTGCGCAGTATAAATTTCAGTCTGCTCGATTTGATTTTTGTAATCAAAAAGGTGTTGCTAAGGAACCTTTTCTCTAACTTTAGTTTTCCAGTCTTTGTCCGAACATCACGGCAAAATTAAAAAAAATCCTATCCAATCTTCAAAGTGACTCAGAGCCTTTGTCTGCGAATGAATTTCCGGAAAAAGTAACTCAATTTGAAGGAGACATTCAGTTTATTGAACTCATTGTAAAGCTTGGCGTACCGCTATCATCAGGTGAATCTGAGTTACTTCACCTTTTGGATCAGCTGCATTCATTCGCTTCCGCCGAATTACGAATCAATTTTAAGGGACTAAACTATGTAAAACATCAAATAGCACAAAGAAAAGCTATTTGCGAAGAACTAAGAGCTAGAATTGAGTCACTTAGACATGAATACGAACCACTGAAGTCACAAATAGCAAGCCAGGTAGTCAATGAATTTTTTTTTAATCTTGTAAATTTTTTTAAGATACTAAGCAGGCGTACGCTTCTTTCTCTGACTTGCTACTCACACTTACTTAAACAAAAATCATAGGAATATTGTTAGATATCACGCATAGCTGGTCATACATGCATCTGCAGTAAAGCCTTGAATTCCTGCAAGAAGACTTATGTGCTAAGCTTGCAAAAATTTTGAACATGAATATAAATTGGAAGTTTTAAGGCCTGGAAACTACATTGGAGCCCCCGAAAAGCCATGAGATAGCACTAAATAATGCTGTGAGAGAGTTGAAGAGGGCAGAGGTAGCTTTACATCCCACAACGTCAGATGTAGCCAGTGAGATACTAGCGTCTAATTACTAAAACCAACATAGCATAGAACAATGAGCATAACAATGAGATCCGAACAATCCAGACTTTGTATAATTTCATTAAATAAAATTCCTGGAACTGAATCATTATTAACGCAGAGCACAGTATTACAATTCTCTTAGTTTTATGGATCTTGTGAACTCTAGTGCTGTTTCTCCACATTAAGTATGGCAAAGTGAACATTAACAGCACCTTCTGAGTTCATAAATTGATGAAGTATTTAATGTACTTTTGCAGACCCAAACTCTAGATCTGCGAATCAAACAACTTCAAAAGAATTTTGCGGACCTGGAACATGGATTTAATGACTCAGTTTTACGGACAACCACAGAAGGAGTCGAAGAATATGCAAAAGAACTTAAACTTACTGAAAGTAAGCTCCCTCTAATTAAAACTCTTTACTGGGACTAAGAAAGGTTAAAGTGGGACTGCAATTAAAAACTATGTAGAACATCCGGTGATGTTGATAAAAAACCTTTAGTGATCCAATGGATTCTATGGATCCGCATGTGAATGCTTAATTTTGCTTAATCTGTTTTGGGTTAGACTATTTCAGTGTAATGATGCAGTACGATTTTCATAGCTACGAATTAACTTGTACATGTGATCATATTACTTGGATCAAAATCGCAAATGGACATTGCATGTCAGGGGGTAGAGCTTGCGCAGTTTAAGGCAAGGCACAAGAGAGGTCTTGAAATATCTGCGAAATATATTCTACAGAGGCACAACGCAAATTATTTTAGGCCATGGTGCTAACGACGCCCTCCAATTTAATCCAACCATATGAATAACCATTGGCCTTTATTTAGCCTAATAACACACTTATATGAGTTTACAATACTGTTGATTCTAAGGCAAAAGATTAGGCATTTTCTCAGTTAATTGAGAACTCAGCTGCTTAAACATCATGAGTGTATTTAAGCTGCAATATGAATTTTGAACGGTTCCCCTAAGCGAATAAAAGACCAGCGCTGTTGTGGAGATAATGCTATTGGAACCGTGACGAAGAATGTCAGTAGAATACTCTGAAACAAGTATATTGGGTAAGAAAAGTTTTTTTTTGGTGACTGGAACTTATTCAAACGGGCCTCCGAACGTAGTTATTGCAAATTACTTGAAGTACCCAGCTCTTCGTGTTTGCAGAATCTATTCAGATTGAGGTTTTTATGATCTCACAAGTTACCAACTCTTATTCCAGTCTATTGCGAACTGGGATTGACTGTCGTGACACACATCGGAGACTTAAGTCAGATTTGGTCTACGCAAAGTTAAATCTTTGCAAAGTGGTGAGAAGCATGACATGATGCTTTTTAAGACAGTCTAGACGATGCCACCTGGATAGCGCGAAATTTTGCAGTCGATTCAACTAGTCTACGTTCGTTTCCGCTGTTTGTGATAAATTGCGCCTAATGACCAAGCGCGATGCGATTTGCTTGTAGTTCACCAAAAGCATCTGCAAGCCGAGCTCGCCGATGTCCGCCAAAGCGCCGGTGGCTGCCTGGAACCGATTCGACGGAACTTGAGAAGCGCTCGCGCCACCAGATACAAACTCGAGAGTCAACTGGAAAGCCAATTGACATCTTACGAAAAGGAGATGATGTCCTCATGGGTGCGATTTATGCTTAATCGATGAATTGCCGATATTTATTTCCCCGTAACGCAACTAAGAGAGTTTTTTTAACTATTTCGAATAGCTTAGCTTTGAGTAACTTCCACGTTTCAGGTTTGGGCAATTTGGTTCTGTTCGCTTTCCTGTACATGTCCAACTGAGGCAACTTTTAAGAGCCCGTCTTATTCTTATCTCTTTGTCAGTGACGATGCAAAGTAAATTGAGTAGCTTTGGCCAAACGCCTTGGCCAGGACGGACACACAAATGAAGACTTGGACAGGCCTCTTGTAAGAGGGTCATACCCAGTCCGACACCCTTCACCAACTCAAGTGAGAAGCCTTCCGATTGGTTTGGGAAATTCGATCCAACAGAGGACAACGCCTGTCTGAGATCTGCAAATTATACGCACACGCCTGAAAGACATGCAAATCTAGGTTATGCCTCCTGCCCTCCATGAAGTGATACAGTACCGCCTGTTCACAACATGTGAGGGTGGGGTTCTTGGTTCCAAGTCAGTGCTTGGTGAAAGTGACGATTTCTATTGAAAAGAACCTAAGACTTACTATAATGCAGTCAGTTTTGGCTTCTTTACGCTGGGATCTTAGAAATGCAAAATTGCATCACATGGAAGTATCTGAACTACGTGTTTCACGGCTTACTGATTAAAATTCGACCATAGCATAACACTACACGCAACCACTGTGATGATATTACCTCCGCCCAAATGGGACAACCGACGACACCGATGCAGTGCTGGGGAAAGTTAGACCCTTTGTGAGAGTGGTACTTTGAAGAAGCAGAAAACACGGTCCTAGTATTAGAACTGCTGACTTATGCCTCGAGTTGTTGATTCGCGCGCTCAAAAGGTCACTTGTGGAACGTAGAGACGGCAGTGTGGTGAGTTGCGTGGTGCCAAAAATACCCAGGTTACAGCAATGATTTATTTATATGTGTCCAAGTGCGCTGACACACACGCAGGCCTAGTTTTAGCGCAATTTTCTGTCCACATTCCTAAACTGTGCGTTCACATGCCCCGGTCTAACATTTGTAGCTGACTTTAAGTTGTTTCTATTAAAGGAGAAGTACGACACTATGATGAAAACCTTCAGAGATGAGGAAGCTCAACTGAAAGAGTATGAAAGCAAAATATCAGTAAGTCCAAGCGACTAACAGTTCCGTTATTGCTTAAAAATGGTACCTTGCGTAAGTGGGAGTGCCACCGTTGCAGAGGCTTTGTGATTAAAAAGGCCCCCCGAGACGCTACAATCGGGCCAATCCTATAAATTTAACTTGCACGTTACAATTCAGGTGGTGCGCGGGTGTGTGCGTGCAGGTGACAAAATACACCAGACACGTCGCAGCGGAGGCGCCCAAACTAGTGCTTTCTTCATGTCAGATTTGTTCTTAAGTGAACACCTCCATCCCCACAACACTCCCTGTGCACGACCAACCTTTGACAAAGCCAACACGTCACTAATCGTTTACAATTTGGCTGGTAGGACAATTAGAAGTTCAAACACCTCTAAATCAACGTAGAATTTACACTGTTATTCGAGATAAGGATTTTTACATTCAAGAAAGAGCCCCTTGATTCTAATTAGTTCCGTTTGGAAAGGAATTTATTGAGGTGATCGAAGAATTGAGTAGGCCTCTGCAGTACCTTGGGCGGTGTGTTATCAAGTCATTTAATTTGAACACACATTGATTTGTCTCGTGAAAGCTCTGCTAGTACTTTGACGTGGTGACCACTCCTGTGACCATAGAAGGACCCACAACAAACCTCTTGTGAGGCGCTCTGATGGCCAAAAGGCCCGATATTGGTCACACGCCGCAGCGGAACCGAGGTTTGCCATTTCGCTCAACTAGTTTACCGTTAGATTAGCTTTGCAGTTGCTCCTGGCGGTAAGAGTACTTAGGCCCCGTCTTTAGCCAGATCTGAAGATCTGATTGAGCTAGATCCCTTGCCGTCGCGCATTCCTCGTTATTCTCTAACTGAATACAGATTTTGGTGTCAAGTTACCTGTGAAGCTTGGTGACCAAATTTTTAATCATTCACCAAAATTACACATATTTGTGTTCATCCGACTGTTTTTAATGATCCGAAGAATGAAGTGAGCAGCAACTCGATTGGCGGAAGGAGTTACATCCTACACAACACACACAGTACACACACAACTAAATACGGAATTATACCAAGTGACAAACTTGAGTCTAACAACGAGTGACCCCCAGACAAACCATGCATAGTAAAGGGAATCTAAGCCCATCACTTAAAGCCCTTTTTTGCCTTTTTGTGAGGCCTTGAAGGTCGAGCACGAAGCCGTCTTGGCCGAACAAGAGGCGCAGAAGGTGAGGGAGAGGGAAGCAGCCGAACGCGAAGCCAGGCTAGCGGAAAATTGCTCGGTGATTCAGGCTTACTGCAGAGCCTTCCTAACTCGCAGAGAAGCTGCCTTGAAGAGACAAGCAAAGAGGAAGTTGCACTGATTTTTGCCCCCTTGTACACCGCTGACTGCAGTGACACACACACACACACACACTAACCCTCTCCCCCAACCAGAAGTACAAGCACATAACCAAAGCCGTGTTTTGTTCATTTGACTCATAATGGAGAAACGAACATGGGTGGATTTCACGATTAGCGCACCCAAATGATACGCAAAGAGGTAATCTCTGCTACCTATTACTCTGAAACAAATGTGGTACTTGAATGAACGCGTTGTGACTTTGAATCCAGGTTTAAGATGAAAAAGAGGTCATAATTAAAGTGGCTTTAGGGCCAACATGCATATCAGTAATATGTGAAACATAACAAGGCTTTAACCATTGCAAATAGTATGCGAGAAACCAGGGTTAACCATAAATTATAATATGAAGATCAGAACGGCGTATAGGGTAAAAGCATTGAAATAATGATTGACATCTGCAGTGTTACTTGAAGATAAACATTGATAAACAAAAACGAAGTCATTGAACTAACACAGAGCACAGTGGATCCGCTCGAACCAGTTTGCCTGATTGATTTTTCCGCAACAAGTCGGGATTCGGTCCCCGTGGAAGGGAAGGGTCAGGTCCACGGCGCAGACTCGGATCTGGACCCCTGGCTGGAGTTCGTTTCGTTAGGAGGTCGGGGTTGTGGCCCTTCGCTTGATTTAACCTGCAGCCTTGTCTTACCTCGTTTCTCGACGTGGTATTCTAGGGTTAAAAGTACGTGTCCTCGTCAATTGGCAAATCATAGGACGTTCAGAAGTTGTGGACTAATTTGGGGAGGGATACCACCAAACCAATTGGTAATTGCTATTATTGTCACGACCAAGAAACGCAAAGAAATGATCTGTCCAACAGCCACAGATTCCAATACTTAAGTTTCCCAAAAAAACGCCAAAATATTCCAACAATCACCTGGGTTGGCGACCCTTTATCCAGGGCTTCTGAATCTGTTACACTTGGATCGTCTACTTTGGTAACTTGAGATTGGTTGTCACTTTTTTCTGTTGAATCGCGGTCCCTAAAAATACGATGGAGTCACTTTGAAAACATAATCAATTACTAATAACATAAGACAATTTGGTGCCCAAATTTTGAATCAGATAGTTTTGCAAACAGCCAAAGCAGTTTGTAGATGTACTCGCTTAGCAAGTCACTACAATTGCTGCCTGGGTCTCAACACAGAGAATCCGGGGGTGAAATGAAAATTTAGGCAAGTTTTAGGGCTTGAGGAGCAAACATGTAGAACTGATCTCAAGATGAACAGTGCACAAACAGACTTACAGATCTGACAAAGCGTTAGTTGCTTCTTTCGATTCTGGGACGGACTTGAGTTCTTCAATTTCAGAATTTCGAGTCTTGTCCGCGTTATCTTCCTGCAAGTAATAATCACCCTTTAATTCGGACTCAGGCGATGTACAGTGGCGGGAAGGCAGTCGGCAGCCTTTCTGAGATCTACGCGAAGAGGCTATAAATTCATGCATTGTAAGTTAACAACAAAATAACATACCTGATGGAATCGACGTCGAACCAACACTAGGTCTTCGGGTTTTCCTAAAGGAATATCGATAACAGACAGAGACCTACACATTTTCTTTCCTCGATGACTTGTGAGGTTGTTTCTGACTTCGGCTTAGGCTGTCGTGTTTTGGATTGTAACTGAAGTAGTAAAATAATGCAAGAAGTAAATTGCGTAACCAGGATTGCGTTATTTTGAAGAAACAAGCAAGATAGCTCAGGCGATCATGCTAATTAGAGCGTAGACAAGTGATTAAAGTATAGCACCACCCACGAAATACGCACAGTGCCATTTCCTGGTTCAAGGGTTTTATCTACTTGAGACACACGCAAAAAGGTTAAGTAGAACGCGTGTACATGAAAATGAATTGCCGAAATTCGTGCATTTTAGACTGCGGAAAAAAGTACAAGAGGATGACTTGATTAAATTCTCAAACTGACGCTAACCAACTGTGAAAAAATGCCTACGTTCTGGCTTTAGTGATCATGATGAGCTTTTCAAAGCAACGAACTGAAAGTTATTATATACCGGAAATCTAGACAGTAAAATATTCATCCGAATTGAAGCTCAATACAGTGGCTGAATTGTAAACTTGCACAAATGCATTGAAAGTGTTTTTGCTACACAAACAGATCTACCATAATGTATTGGAGGTGGTGGGGTTTAGCAACATGTTTTGGCAAAAAGTTAAAAGTGCAGAAGTAACAGTATTTAATGAATGTCAGGTGCCACTATACCTACTCAGATAAAATAAAGTCTTAAAACATGGGAAAGAATATTACCTTGAACTTATGAAATTACTAACTACAGCACTTGTCTTGGACGTAAAAGAAACTGTTGAGGGTTCCTCCGTAGACGGGATGTGAATCGACTCCAAGACATCGCTTGAAAGCTTGGTTTTCCGGTCAATACTATATACTGGAAACCTACTTCAGAACCAACTGACGCTTTAGCGGAAGACCGTTCTACATTAACATCACTATTCGTGTGAGAATTGTTGCCGTAATACTTTGGACGAGGATCCGTCCAGGTGGCACGTTTTTTTTCGTGGTCAACAAAATAACTGTGATGAGACAACTGATAAAAAATAGTGGCTTATTTCATACTTCCGCTTAGTATTCGGATCATACTTCATTTCCCAATTTGGTGGTAAAGGATATTTCGACCACGGCTCAGCTACTGACATTTCGGCCTATCACCGAAAGCCCTTCTTGTCGCTCAGGGGTGCAGACATATTTGAAAGAGCCAAGTTTATCCAATCCTCTATCTCTGGGCGCCAAAAATGGCCTACGAGAAATATCATCGACGAACCAAAGACATGGGCAGATAAAAGATCTTAAAAAAGGCCGTGTAGCATGTGTGGTGGACTCCGATGGACGATTACTCACGGACGATAGTGGACTGCGGTACGTCAGTCCAGTCTATCATGTTTAACTTGTCGTCTATGTGTTATGACAGTTCCATTTGACACTAATGGCAGTGGGTGCGAATTAATAAGGCTAGTCGAAAACGAGCCCTTTCCCTCTCCTACTATCGGCAACAGAGGCCATGGATCGTTATGAAGATTAGAATTTCGTACTTACCTCATTAGATTCTACAAACGTCAGCTGAATTTATTCAAGTCAGTCGATCTTATTTTCTGAACGATTAGATATAAAGAATTTTCCGAAATGGGACCAATACATCCTATCAAGCACTTTCAAGTCAGGAAAGACATCAAGGTCGTTTGGAGCCAATTGTACTGAAAATAGAGGAAGTATCTATTGTGAATGCTGAGGCCTTCCAGAAAAACCTAAAGGGTTAGAGTCCATTACTCTTTAGGTGTTTGGAACACTCGCCAGCCTGATGTGGGCATCAGTATATGATGAAATAAAACTTGTTTTTTTGTTTTCAATTTAGACGGCGCCAGAATCCCACCCGAAGTCATGGGTAGCTTCCATTTAGGGGGAATGGCGATTATACTTCATCACCTCATCAGTTTAGGCTATCCTCTGCCTGCGTTTGTTTAAAATGGCCAACAAAGATGATCACAAGTCTGTCTTTTTAGAAGCTATATCCCGGATATTCTACAATAGGGGGTGGAACGCCGCTATATAGGACCTATAATGAAACAATTGACTAATTACACACTGGCTGGACGTGTCTGCATCATTGCACAGATTTAGCGCATATATGTAACGTGAATAAATTGAGAGGTTACAATCAGTCACTCCCTCACGCTATTAGGAGCGAAAACTATAAATTCTACATGATACGAGTGGTAATGGGGTCCTGATGTAAATATGACTGCTGTATACAAAGGCAGAGTGGCGAGTTCCTAGGGAAATGGAAATTGTAGAAACAGTGAGAAGTTGTCCCTGCGGGGATGAAGTCAGAATTAACCCTCAGGCATATAAGCGCTGCTTGATGTGGACGGAATATCGGAAGGACAAATTGCAGGCCAGATTGGTTTGACTTAGCCCAATGGTGGGTTGTAGAATACCCGAGCCCTACTAGGTAAAGACCGGTACAACAGAACAGGCTTTATTGACCAATCAGAAGCCAGAGCCACGCGTCAGGCGCCTTCCATCCGAGTCCACCGCGCTAGCCACGCCGCTCATTATATACTGCATCTCATCCATGTCCTTCTCTGGTTGGCTTT